GAGCGACCCCGCCACCCCCGGCGCCCGCCCGCTCGGCCGCCGCCTCTCCTCACCCTTTTTCCTTCCTCCCGGCTGCACCAATCTCAGGCCCCTGCCCTCACCGGGAAGTGGGCCCGCGCCGGAAGTGACGTCTTCAGACCGCGCCCCGGTCGGCCCCGCGCGCGCCCTCTTCCGGTCCCCGGCCTCGCCCCCGCGGCCCACCTGCTCTTCATCCTCAACCTCGTCTGCGGGCCACCTGGCCCGGCCCACGCGCGGCCCCCTCACCCCGACACCTGGTCCTCGTCCTCATCCTCGGCCGCGGCCCACCTGGCCCCCGCCCTCGGCCTCGCCCCGCGCGGCCACAGCCCGCCCCGCCCACAGGGCCGGGAGAGCTCGGCCTCGCCCCCGCGGACGCGGCCCACCTGGTCCTCGTTCTCATCCTCGGCCGCGGCCCACCTGGCCCCCGCCCTCGGCCTCGCCCCGCGCGGCCACAGCCCGCCCCGCCCACAGGGCCGGGAGAGCTCGGCCTCGCCCCCGCGGACGCGGCCCACCTGGTCCTCGTTCTCATCCTCGGCCGCGGCCCACCTGGCCCCCGCCCTCGGCCTCGCCCCGCGCGGCCACAGCCCGCCCCGCCCACAGGGGCGGGGAGAGCTCGGCCTCGGCAGCTCGAACAACCCCGAAGGGGCTGGAGAGAACCCGTGTTCTTCGGTTCTTGCTCGCCCCTGGCTCCGGGAGAGCGGAGGTAGTACTCTAATGCGATCATTTAACATAATTAACAACATAAACAATGCGTGTTGGGATTAAAGTGCAGTGTTTTCTCTTCCCGAATACAGGCCGTGTGCCTCACGAATGATTAACCAGGAGAGCTGGTGACACGCCGGCGAGTAAGTCAGCGGGGGAGAAGTCGTGGCGAATGCAGCCTCCCCACAGGAGAGGAGCAGCGAGGAGGGCTCGTGCAGACTGCCTGGTCCTGGTCCTGGTCCGAGCTCGGACTGGGAGGCCACCGGCCACACGTGCAAGGAGTTACTGACAGGTCTCCGGGCGAGGAACGCCAAGGAAACGGGAACAGTACCAATTACGAAAACAATGCCCGCAGACGCCCGAGACATCGAAGAGCTTTTTGTTGTGTTCTGAACCTGCAGAGGAAGACTTTGTTTTGGCAGTTACACTAAAGCATCATCCAGAATTCTAGCGTTTGAGGGCATTCAAGGCATTTTTGTCCTATCCTCTAGGGGGAACTCGGGACATTCCATCCGGCCTCGCTCAGGAGTACTGTGATTTCAAAGTGCTCACGTCTTGTAAAATTACAAATCAAAACCAAACCAAACCAGGGTATTGAGAGGTTCAGAGAGAGAGGAAATGAGACTTTTTTCCTATGGTTTAAAAATTCTTAGAAGAAAGTGCCAACATATTTCCCTCCAAATTGAACAGATTTATTTTTTCCGTGGAACTTAGAGTGGAACAGCAAAACCAAACCTGCCTCCTAGTCCATTTTGCTCCTCTCCCCAAAAGAACTTTGAAAAATTATGTACCAAATATGTAGTTAACATCTAAATTCTTCATAATTTTAATAGTTGCAAAGTATTAATTTCTGACATCCCAATAATGACATTTTAAAACTAAACAAATATCCTTTTTAAAAAATATATCCTATAGAATCTAAATACAATAGAGATAACACCCATTCTCCATCTAAAAAAATTATGAACAAGCTCTTCTTTAAGTGAAAAATTTTACATTAATTCTTTTCTCCTTTAACTCATTTCCATTCCACTTCCCCCACAAAATTATATCCTAAAGGAATATATTTTTATGCTTGAAAATGTTACTGATCACACTGTTTTTGCAAGAGACCCATACAAATACAGTTAATTCTCATTATTCACGGATTCTGTATTTGCAAATTCTCCCACTCAATAAAATTTATGTGTAACCCCAAAATCAATACTTGTGACACCTTCTCAGTCATTTATGGACATGTGCAGAGCAGCAAAAATTTTGAACTGCCGTATGCACACATTCCAGCTGAACCTGAACAAGGCCATGCTCTGCCATCTTGTTTAAGCTCGTAATGTAAGCAGATGTCCTTTGCGTGGTCTACTGGTGCCACATTTTTCTGCTTTTTGTTGTTTTTCACTGTTGATTTCACTGTTTGTTGATTTCACTGTTGTAAATGGCCCCCAAGCACTGTCTAGTGTTCCTAAGCGCAAGAAGACTGTGATGTGCCTTACAGAGAAAATACGTGTGTCAGATAAGCTTCGTTCAGGCCTGAGTTATAGTGCTGTTGGCCGTGAATTCAACGTTAATGAATCAACAATACAGTACATCCAGAAAAAGGAAGAGGAGATCCGCCAATCTGTACGTGAGGCCGCTCCGGAAATTGCTAAAGTAACATCTAGAGTGCGTGATGCAGCTATGGAAAAGATGGAAAAGCAGCTAACTTTGTGGATTCATGAGATGACAACCGATAAAAAGAGTGCACTGGACAGTGTTGTTGTGGGGCTGAAAGCCAAAGAAATTCACGGTCACGTTACCCAGGGACAAGAAAATGTTAAACCTTTCTCGGCTAGTGCAGGCTGGCTCGCACGTTTCAAAAGGCGAGACCACATGAAAAACGTTAGACTTGCAGCCAAGGCAGGTTCTGCAGATCAGGAGGCTGCAGAAGAATTTAAAAAATACCTATTGAGCATTATACACGAAAAGGGTTATATGAAAGAGCAGGTTTTCAATGCTGATGAGACAAGCTTGTTTTACAAGAATGTTGGCAAACGAACCTATGTCATGCAAATGGCCTCCAAAGCTCCTGGCTTTAAATCATTCCCAGACCGTGCAACCTTGCTATTATGTGCCAATGCCAAGGGCGACTTTAAGTGCAAACCCCTAATGGTACACAGAGCACAAAACCCACGAGCACTTAGGGGGAAAAACCTGAACCGGATGCCAGTCCATTGGAGGTGGAACAAAAAAGCATGGATGGCGTCTGGAATATTCTGGGACTGGTTCCACAACTGCTTCATCCCAGAAGCTGAACGCTATCTCCATGGCAAAAACCTTGCCTTCAGGGTCTTATTAATTTTGGATAATGCCCCAGTTCATTGCCACGAGGAACTCGAAAATGCCCACCCCGACATAGAAGTTCTCTTCATGCCCCCAAACACTGCATCTCTAATCCAACCCCTCAATCAGGGCATAATAAAAGCTTTCAAGGCCCACTATACCAGGGAGCTTTACAGCAAGGCTTTCGAGGCTCTTGAGGCAAACAAGGAAGCCACCGTGATGGACTACTGGAAGTCAGTCACTATTCGGAATGCTATTGATTATATTGGCACAGCCTGGGACAGCATCAAGCAGGCTACTATCAATAACTGTTGGGAAAATATTTGGCCAGATTGTGTGAAAAATTTCGAAGGCTTTGAAGGTGTTACAGAAAATATAAAGAACACTGTCAAAAACATAACGCATATTGCACAGCAAATAAGTGGAGAAGGTTTCGATGACATGAAAGAAGGAGATGTGGAGGACATTTTGGCAGAAATGGCAGTAGAACCCACCAACGAAGACCTGGATGAGATGACAAAACATGGCATTGGAGTCAGTGATGACAAGGATGGTGATGAAAGTCAGCCTACGACTCCAAGAATTGTCCCTCTCACAGCAGCCAAAATATCAGAATGGAATTCTGCCTTGGAAAAAATTTTCAATGACATGGAAGAGTTATGACCCTATGCTTGAACGCAGCCTCACATTTAAGCGCCTAACCTCCACTGCGTTTGTTCCTTATGCCGAGACACTTAAAGATTTAAGGCGAAAAGCCAGACAGACAAGGCTGAAGCAATTTTTCAAGCCAGTTTGGGAGGGAAAGTTGCTGACACCATCAACAAGTTGTGAAAGCCAAACTCCTGAGGCGGAACTGCCAGATCTAGCATGCCACCCCCACTGATGTCTTCCTCTCCTGCTAAGTAAGTTCCCCCGCTCTCCCTTGGTTTTCATAGGGCAAGCCAAGGTTGAGAACTTTAACCACTCCTTGCACTGCCCCATCACACATCCTGAAGCTCCATCGACAGTAATTTGAAATGTTTAATCTTTGCTTAATGTTTTTTCAAGGCTTGCTTTCCTGCATCACTGTACTGTACAGTACACAGTATGTGTTTACTGTATGTGTGTACTATGTATATGACTGAGAGGAAGAGTTAAAGTAGGACGGTCACATCACAGTAGACTACGTTACATAATGCTATAGTTGAAATAGTGTTTTATTATAAAGAAATATGCATGTAATTAATTACTTGTAAGAAATATGTTAAAGAAGCTGTCTTTAAACAGAAATACACTGAAAACAAGATTAGGTATTGACTGGTTGACGAGATGTTGTGACCAGAGTCTCGAAGGAAACTAACCCTGTATTTACCGTAGGAACAATGGTTCAGTAGTTGCTAATTCAGTGTTCACAGTGACTTTGTAGAATGTAACTACCACAAATAATGAGAATCGACTCTACATTTAAGATTATTAAGCCAAAAGGATCTAATTGTTATGAGTTTTCTTCTAAAGTGAGTTAACACAACTATTGTTAGTACACAAACGATGGAAACAATATATTACAGTTTTGATGAAAAGTATTAAATAAAAAATGCAAACTTTTATTTGGAAATGTATATCTTAATGAGATGTTTAGGGTTTTTTTTTTAATTAGTTCATTTACCTATGGATGACTATCACTTACTGCTAGAAAAAGATATGTCCAGCATCAGTTCTATTCCTATCTTGGGCGATGCAAACACTGAGAGACCTTGTTCATAAAAATAAGTACATGGAAATGGAAGGAG